AATTTTTTTTTTTTTTTTTTTTTTTTTTTTTTTTTTTTTTTTTTTTTTTTTTTTTTTTTTTTTTTTTTTTTTTTTTTTTTTGGGGGTTTTTTTTTTTTTTTTTTTTTTTTAAACAATCACCAGAGCACCGTAAGAGCTACTTTTACAGTGAGAATTGCCGCCAAGTGAAGGCTAGATGCTGAAAAACAAGATTTGGCTTGGATCGTCTATTTCATCTCTCTTTCATGAGGAATTTTCTGCAATATCTATAGATATCTTAAGGCTACTAGCCTTTTTATCATTTTATTTTTTAAAGAATGTTATATCAATTAATCTATTTGTACTGATATTGTACAACATTGTTAACAATGATAGGTAAGGCAAAAAAGTGTTAATTGAAAAGATATGTTGTTTTTTAAACTGTCCAATCACAACGTGTCATATGATATGTCGTCAACAATGTTGTCAAATTCATTGTACATGAAGTGTTGCTCATATTATATAGCACCAGTAGTGTAATAGCACTAGTTAGGGTAACTACACTTGACACATTCAATTAAATGAATTGTATGACGTTACATTTAAATGAAAAAATATATATCATTTAATGTTATATAGTTGTCACATTAGAATAGTGCTTGATACCAATGATGTTGAATAAAATTAATCTTTAATTTACTTGTACATGTATCACCTTGTCAGTAGAGGCTTAACATATTGTTTTCAAGATAGTTCCATATATGACACTTGGCATCCAACCATATGTAAATTTGTTATTTTTATTAGATTTTTGGAATCATCCTTCTTTCATGCTGAATAATGATTTTGCCGGGATGCAGACCCCTTTTTTTCTACCACATGGTCAAAAGGATATTTGTTTCATCCTTTTAAGAGGGATAAAATACTTGAGCATAGCTGTAAATTTGATTGATACATTTTGCACATAAGGGGATAAGACGAGTCATTCTATTATTTTAGTTGAGACAAATATGCAAGTTCACAAGTTTGTTCCTATCTAGGATGTGTTCTTATAGTTTCGTATCCGTGAAGCGATTTCGGCAAATCTTAGCCTGTCCTTAGTTTGTAGTGACATCATTTGATTGGTCACATGACTTCCTTCTTCATACGTGGGTTGAGACTAGTGTCCACATGAAATTATGTTATACCACATCGAATTACGTAGTAACTCATTTTTTTTCTTTCACTTTTCATTACAAACAATTTGTTCATAACACTCGAGCATATATGAGCAACGCACATAGACTGCAATGAAATGTGCTGTTGATCTATGGTCTTCTTTTGCCAATACCTTTAGATATTATACTTGATATGATCATATATACGATTTAAATTGTAAAAACATTAAATAAAATAGAATAAAAAATCGAGGAGGATATTATGTTCTCCATCTTCGCCCTAATTACTAAATGGGGGTAGGGATTTCTATCTTAGTTAGGACCGGACGATTAAATTTGTGAATTTAAAATCACCTAATTGATCTCATCATTTAACGGAAACATCACATAATTTGCATCACTAATGAGATAAACAACATTACTCTTAATTGAATTTACTCTTAATCGAATCAACAGTTTGCAACGAGGGTGTGGTATGTTGGTGTTATTTCTTTTAGAGAATTTTTTTCTTTAAATTGGATTTGAATTTGTATTTTTTTTATCTAAAAAAATCAATAATTTGTCGATCTCGTGTTCAACTTCAATCTTTACACTTCCACTCTATAAATTATTAAGTGATGTAATTAATCTCTCTCGTGGAAGTCACTATTTTTTTGAGAAGATTCACTTCATTAAATATATTCAAGAGACTCGAGAATCTTAAACAACTAGTTAATTGCCATGCTCGTGCAACTTGAGTTGAAAATTCAATCAAGCATAAATGTACAACTTAACTCAAGAAACTTGTGTTACACAAAAAATACATAAACAAGCAATGAGAATGATGGCTTCACATAATTAGCCGCGCGGCACACGGTCCTCGACCTATGTCAAATTTTGTCCTTTGGTATAATGTCAAATATTGGTCTTGGTCCCACATCAGACCTCGGCCTTGGTTATATAAGCTGACAATAAACAGCCATCCCATTTCTTTCTAACTGAATGTGTGAAAATTAATGGATCTAACTGAATGTGTGAAAATTAATGGATAGCAGTTATGAATGTGTAATTAAATTAATGTTTATTTATAAATTATATCGAAATAGCAACTTAAAATTTGAACATATTTTTTAATCACAAGATTTGACTATTGTAACGAGATCAATAACCCTCTCTAAATGGATTTTTTTTAATAGATATATAAGATAAAAAATTAGGGTTTGTCTACATGTATATCGGAGTGTCACATACCCCTCATAAGAGGGGGTCCACAATTTTTTTATTCGTCGTGGGCTACTCTCTTGTGAGGGGGTCGGTCAATTCCTATGTACAAATAGAAAAATCTCAAAAGGAAGTTCGAAAATGTGACTTTACTAAATCGTAATGACAATATTTCTCATAGATTAACATTATTGATTTGAGTTAGGTATGGATCTATTGACTGTCCTTTTATTAATCAGTTAAGATAAGACTGAAATTGGAGATGATCGTGCCCATATTCAATTGTAGTCAATTATAACAGCATATTATTGTGTTATTCATTTAAGTATTTTCCATCACTGATTTGACCCACTCCAATGTAATTATCAATATTTCACCTTTTTTAGAGCATATTTGTTTTCCATTTTCCTAGTAAGTATACATTTTGAAATAATTAATTGATGAAAAATGTGTGATTAAAAAAAAAATTTTAATTTTGTGTGTAATATTATTTTATTAAAGAATATGCGGTTAAAAAGAAGAAAAAAGGTATATTGTGAAAAATGGGTCTCAAACAAGGACTTAGATTGCTCTCAGTTCCATTTCAATTAGTGATGGTAACGGGGCGGGTTCGAGGCCGGGCGCTCCCATTCCGCCCCACCTTAGACGGGACGGGAATGGGGTAACTTTTTGGTCCTTTTGTTGCCCCATATAATTTTATTTTATTTTATTTTTTACATTTTCAAAGTTTCAAGTTATGTTATTATTAGAGAATAAAATACAAATTCAAAATAGATTTTTAATGGATGAATTATCTAGAAATAAAATTATTTTCAATTATGGGGAGCCCCGCCATGCCCCGCCCCACCAACCCGTTCGGAGCGGGGCCGGGGCGGGTTTTATTATCATCCCTAATTTCAATCTGAATACATGAATAATGTTGTCAGAGATGTTTAACACCAATTTAAATAGCAATATAATTTGTTCAATTAATGGATACTGCACTATTAAATTTAGCCCCCGTATGACCCCCATTATTTGAATTTATAATGGACGAATATTTTTTTTTTTTTTTTTTTTCAAAAATGGATGGTTGTGAAAGAATGAGAAGTTTTCGATTCATGTGTAATATTATTTTTATTGAAAATTACGTGATTAAAAATACAAGAGAGAAAAATTTTAATTAAATTAATGAGTTTTAATGAGACCATACAGGCTATTAATTGAATATTTCATTTAATACCATTTGTTGGCGTGCTGGATAGCGTTATTATTGAAAACATATCAAATTTATTAATGCTATTTATTTAGTTCCTGAACGGTCAATGATTTTAAGTGTAACTTAAGAAAATGTTTGGCGGAGTTGTTATTAGATTATAAATTACGAGACATACGAATAGTGTGAATAGTAAGTTGGTAAAAAGTAAATAAAAATTATATTTAGTATAGAATATGCAGATTAAAATAGGGTTTAATCTATAAATTCTGTCAAACATGCACTAAATAATGTTATAATTATCATCTATATGATTACTTGTGGTCGCAATTACAGTACACGACGCCCATGTTTGGTTTCGATAAAAATTGAATTTTTAGTAAGATTTGATAAAAGTTGATAAATGTATAGTAAAAAAGTTAATAAAAGTTTTGCATTTTGTAAAACCCCTATTTTCTCCAAAATTTATTTTTTCAAAATTTATTTCAATTACACATTCTCTCATAAAATAATTTATATGAAAACTCCAAAATTTACCCTATTTTTTAACCATATATCTTCAAAAAATTATTATTCCAAAATATATTTTCTTCTTAAAATGGATCTGAAATAGATGCAAAATGTATGATTAACAACCTGTTTGGGAGTGATTTTTTCCTCAAAAAATTGATTTTTTGACTGTTATTTCACTATTTCAATCGTCATATTTGACTTCTTTTCTCACAGATGGATCTCACTTTTTCTCCTAACCATCAAAAAATCAATTCTCAAAATTCTTACCAAACATGCTCAAAATGAATTTTAAGAAATGATTTCAATCAGGGCGTTGTTTACACTTTTTCAACAATGGCATTCTCGTAATTCCCATATGCAGAGCCGCCTATATTTACTCCCCTCCGAACGCGCTTTGCTCCTCCGATAACTTCTACTCTCATTTTCCAACTGAAAAGCTTTTTCACTCACTCCGTTGATTTTCGTTTTCCCTTATACAATGGAACAGGACCAATCATTTTCCGAGGAAAACAACCATGGATGGCAAAAGGTCACTTATGCCAAAAAACAGCGCAAAAATCAACCTGGAAAACCCAATCCTGATAATTCCAGGGCTGTACCCAATGGATCCGCGGAGAAGAACGGCGTTTTCAAGAATCTGGAGAAGCACGCGGAGGAGCGACGTCGGAAATTGGAGTCGCAACGCGCTGCCGCGATTTATGACGACGAGGACGATGTTGCGGTCAGATCGAAGAAGAAGTGGGGAGATGATGAGAATGACGATGTTACAAGTGATGTTGATGGTAATGTGAAAGAGACTAATGCTGCAGAGGTGAAAAAGAAAGAAAAGCCAAAGAAGGAGAAGAAGCCTAAGGTCACCGTGCCGGAGGCAGCTGCGAAGCTCGATGCCTCTGATCTTGCGGCTTTTCTATCCCACGTGTCGGTGAGTTTTTTATATCTCGATTAATTATTCTGTCATGGTTTGTGTATGATCTTGTTGAATTTTTATTTGATTTGCAATTTGTTGGTGTTCTGTTAATAGGGATCGTATGAAGGGCAGCAGGACATACAATTGATGAGGTTTGCGGATTATTTCGGGCGTGCATTTTCTGCAGTCAGTGCTTCGCAGTTTCCGTGGCTAAAGTTGTTCAGGGAGTCTGCATTGTCTAAAACTGCGGATGTAGGTTGCTCCACTGTGATATTTTTATTTTTTATTTTTTATTTTTTTGAGATCTGTTATCTAGTAATTTCAGAAACAATAATAGGAATGCGTGTGCATAAATGTCTTTCCATTTATTAGCATTTTGCCAGGTATTCAGAAAAACAACCTTGCATAAATTCTGATTTTTGTTTCAGAGGGTAGGGAGCAGTTGATTAAAAAGATATTTATGGGTTGTTAAATTTTTGTACTTTTGTTTGCTTATGTGCTAACAAGTTCAAATAAACGGTGTTTTGCCAATGGTACAGCTTTGCGAAACTTTGATTTGAATGTTATATGCAAATAGCTGATCCGCTAGATACTCAGATTATGTATTGGCTGTATGCACTTAAAAGTTGCATTCTTTTTTACGAGTTTATTCTAGATTTGCGTTCATATTTTTTAAATTGTATTTCTGTACATGACGTTGAAGTCCATGAGATCTTGATATAATTTCTTCTTGGGATTCTTGCAATATATGAACATTGGGTCGTGGAGTTCGAATTTTTTATTTATTTGTTAACTCCTTGCTCCTGGCTTTTTCTTCCAGTATTGGATTTCACATTCCTGTAAAAATGTGTGTGTGTATGTACAATATTTCTGCAATGTGTTTAAATATTCGGTGAATTTAATAGTTTTCACTGCTTGATTTGTGAAATGTTGACTTGATATCACCACAATACTTGATAATTGCTCCCACTTTTAATTTTATCTTTTTGTGAATTTAGTTCTTTGTGGTTATAATTATTTTATTTCTTCTTTTTTCTTTAAGCGCATTCGATCTTTATATAAGCATTGTTTACGTTAGTTTTGGGTCTACAGCATGTTGACTTCAAATTTTGCCAACAATTGTGAAATATTTATGAATGCTGAAAGTGCATGCAACAAGGAAATGCTTAGCTAGAATTTTACCATAACCCTGTTTATCCGCAAGATTCTACAGCAAGATATCTATGTTTTCTTGTGGGACAATAAATGCTGGGAAGTGTTATTGTCCAACTGACCAAATGTGTATGAAGGTTAAATAGCTAAATTTCTAGTATCTCTTTTCCTTTTCCCCATTATCCTGACACTACCTTTAGTGCCTTATCCTACTAATATACACTTTTAAGTTCTTTTGACGTATCATCCATGGGGTTCTGGATAATATATTTGGGAGATCTGAGATTTTTGCACTCGCATCTTTTAGCATGAAAGTTAGATTTTGACATTGCTTTGTTTTAATACTACAAAGTTTTTGGGGTCTAATTTACTGATTTCCCACAAATAGGTACCTGTATCTTTTATTTCTGAAGCTGTTTACAAGATTTCTGTTGACTGGATCAGCCAAAATTCCTATGAGGCTCTTGGGTCCTTCGTGTTATGGTCATTGGATAGCATTCTTGCCGACTTGGCACACCAGCAGACAGGATCTAAGAGCTCAAAGAAAGGAGGGCAGCCAACATCTTCAAAGTCTCAGGTTGATTACTATAATATTATTTTGTTTCTTTCCCCAACTAAATATTGCATGGTGTCTTTTACTTTCAGCATTCATTTACATCTTTTTGCAGGACAATCAAGTTCAATATTGATGGTGGATGCATATGTGGGCTTATGTTTTATTGTATTGTTGTGGATTCTTTGAAACAGTGTTTGAGGCAATGACACGGAACATGCGAAAGGCCGGAATTCTGATTTTATTTCTCTGTACAACTTTATCCACCCTCCCTTTTCTGCATTGCCAATAATATTTTGCCATGCATTTCTCAGTTTATTGGAGAGCATATAACCATTGACATTTTTGTCATTCCAAAATGTGGGGAGGAACCTTTGGGTATTTCACTTAATTGTTTGAATAAATTAATCCTCTTCCTTGCCCGATTTCCCCTTTCTTTCTTTCAAAACTTGTAAATGCGAGGGCTAATTTATGAACTTTTTGTCTTCCCTGCATAAGCTTGTTGCATTTATTTTTGTTTGTATATCAATCAAATCCCCCATTTCTCTCTTAACTAGTGAATTTGAGCAATTTCTCCTCAATCTTGTAGTAAGCTATCTCCTCTTGGCCTGCCATTGCTGTGAGTTTTTGTTAAAAACTGGTTTGATGGGTAATTTCTTAACTGTCCGACAGTTATTCTTCTTTCTAGGATTGTGATTTTCACAGTAATTTATTGAATTGGCGAGAGAACTTTATGAGGACCTCTTTACCAAGAAATTATAATTGGAAAAATTGTGAGTTTAGATGAGAACTTGGTATGAGAATGGTTTGGGTTGTTGATTTTGAAAATGTTTTTGGTGGTATGGTCGTCCTTGAGATAAAAGGGTTATTGATCTTGGTGCTTCATTTAGAATTGTAATCTACAGCTGAATGGATTTGCTTTAGCTTCATAAATTTTTCAATACTAATTGACCAATTTCACGCACATGCAACAGAGAACAAAAGTCATTTGCCATCCCTTACATGATTTGATTTTATCCTCCTCGGGAAAATTTGAGTTGGTGCACCGTTGAGTCAAAACTGATGTAAATTTATTTATTTATTTTTTCACTCTCTGGCCCGAGATCATTGTTTCCCATTAGTTGATTTATTAATTTGTCCACCTGTCTCATTTACAGTCCACTATTATTATGCTGTACTGTTTGATCAATTTAAATATTTGTACCTTGACTTATGGTACTTATTGTTCATTTACAGGTTGCCATATTTTTAGTCTTAGCAATGGTGTTACGGCGGAGACCTGATGTTCTAATCAATCTATTGCCTAGAGTGAGGGAAAACTCAAAGTATCAAGGACAAGATAAGCTTCCGGTTATGTTGTGGATGATAGTTCAGGTGATTACATAACTAGGCATCACCTTAACATCTGTGGCACTTTTAGATTTCTTTGGTCATTGTGAATTTTGAGTCAAAGTTGAAGTTGATCCTTTATGTGCAGGCCTGTCAAGGAGATCTTGCTGTAGGATTGTACTTGTGGGCACATCATATTTTGCCTATACTTGGAGGCAAATCTGGGTCTAATCCTCAGTCCAGGGATTTGGTTTTGCAGCTAGTGGAAAGGTTTGAATTATTTGCTTCTCTTTCTAACACACACAACACTCATCCTCTCTGTGTTTTGCATTTGTTCCATTAATTGATGAACTTACTTTTCCATGTATCAGAATTTTGTCTGCACCAAAGGCTCGTACTGTATTAATAAATGGTGCTGTTAGAAAGGGAGAGCGCTTGATGCCACCTGCTGCGCTTGACTTACTGTTACATGTAACCTTTCCTGAATCTTCTGTGCGGGTCAAGGTATGAGTTACTACTTACTAGGGGCTTCTACGAACAGTGGTGGCTAGTATTCTCTCTGGTTCCCTTCTTTTGTACCTGTTTCTGGTCAAGTGTCTTCATTGATCTCTTGTGGTACATATTTCAGGCAACTGAAAGGTTTGAGGCTATTTATCCAACTCTTAAAGAGGTTGCTCTTGCCGGTTCTCCTGGTAGCAAGGCAATGAAGCAAGTCACGCAGCAGATACAGACTTTAGCTGTTAAAGCAGCTGGAGAAGGTTAGTTCCAGATCATAGCGATATTTTATCATCAAATATCAGCTAAAAATATTTAGTTAGTAAGTCTAAAGTTCATAGTGATTAGTGAATTTGACAGATTGTGCTTTGCAGGGATCCCAGAGCTGTCTCGTGAAGCAACTGGCTTATTTCTTTGGTGTTTGACTCAGAATCCTGATTGCTACAAGCAGTGGGTAAGTTTAGTTTGTACTCTTCTCAACAATAATGATATTTAGATTCTGGAATGTCCTACTACCATAATCTGATTGGACTGAAAAGCGTAAGGAGCCATTGAAATCTAAGTGCAGCAACGTTGAGTACAATTCATTGAAGACTCAGTTTAGGTCAACTGTGCTCTCATCCTGTCCAATATCAGTTTCTCTTTGCTTAAGAAGATGCTTAAAGTGTTATGATCATCCTTGCTACTTTGGTCAATATGTGTGCAATTTACCTTCTAAATTTCAATCTCACCTTGCTTTTCCGGTGTGACTGTATTCTAAACCTAGTCTGTGATGCTATAAAATTTGATTTGAACAGGACAAGATTTATATGGATAACATAGAGGCCAGTGCTGCTGCCTTGAGGAAGCTTGCTGAAGAATGGAAGGAGCTTTCTGCAAAACAGTCTTCTCTTGAAGCACTTAGGGAAAGTCTAAAGAGCTTCAGGGAAAAGGTGAGTGGCTTGTGTATTTTTTCTTGTACTTAGTCAATTGTCAAAACTAGGCCAGTAGTTTAAAGATGAGTACAGAATAATGGCTTTGAACTTCCTTTGCAATCTTGCATTTTATTTGGACCTGTGGTATAAGCTTGGAATTCATTAAACTTGATTAATTTCAATGGAATTCATTAAACCTGTGGTATAAGCTTGGAATTCATTAAACTTGATTAATTTCAATGGTCTCTGTCAACAGAATGAGAAAGCACTAAATGGTGGGGTGGATGTTGCTCGCCAAGCTTTCTTCAAGGATGCAGATAAATACTGCAAGGTAATGTTAGGAAGGCTATCACGTGGTTACAGTTGTGTGAAAACTGTGGCCTTCACTATGGTATTGGCTGTGGGAGCTGCTGTGATGTCTCCAAGCATAAAGGAATAGGATTGGAACAAGTTTTCGGTTTTGTTCAATGCCCGGCAGATGTTCTGAGCGAATTTCAATCTGAGGTATTTGAGACATTGGTTTTTTGATCCTTCACATGGGAAAATTAATTATATTTACCCAAAATAAATTGGCAGAATAGCTAGGTCTTTGTGTAATAGTGAGTCACAGTGGGATTACTCCAAGTAGAATGCAGTTGGAAGTAATCACTGTTTTAAAGAAGCTAGTTCAGTTCATCATCTGGAACTGATTTCGTGCTTCTGGTTTTTTCTTAATTTTTTTTGACTTAGGGGTAGATAATCCTTTGGAGTTATTTAATACTTTCTTCCTCAGTTTCGGCAAAATGAGCACATGGATACATGTATTTTTGTGGTGGTGTAATGATTATTCAGAAATGATAGTCGTGAGTGGTAATACAGTCTGTAACTTAAGATAATCATCAGAGGCTCTTTTAGTGAATTTGGGTGTGATCTTTGTTTCCTTATTATGGTGGCATAAGCTGATTAGGTGGAAGTGGGGTACTTTTAAAATTGGCCTAGTCAAAGGTTCTTATTTCCACTTTGACTTTTAAAAACTTGAATATTATCACATTAACCTCTTGAATGGTAAAAGACAGAGATGCTCTTAAATATATTATGTAATTGCAAAATATTAAATAGTTTAAAAGACATTACTACATTTTTAGTTAATAATTAAAAATCAAACACTTCCTCACTTATAAAACTGCAGAATGAGCTTCAAATACAGAAAAATTCTCATTTTTCATTTGTTTGAACCTCAAAATATCAAAAAATTTCGAACATCGAAGGCAAAATTTTTTTCAGATCAATTACTTCAAATCGGTAAGTATATTTTTACACATGCTTAGTTTTGATTTTAGTAAATTAGTGTACGTTTGAGTAGTTAAATAATACAGTAATTAGTAGATTTTTTTTTAACAAATCTATAATTTATTTTTTTAGAACCATAGAAGAATAAAAAGTCATTTACAAAATGAACAGTCCGACGATTAACTGTGGGATGATTACGAAAACTGTTAGACAGTAGACAACGGACTGTCAAAAGACTATCTAACAGCCGACTGTCGGCTCTTAGACGACTGTCTAACAGTCAACAATCGGTTGTTAGAAAGTCGGTTGTCTAAACAATCGATTGTTAGTTGGTTGTTAGCTGATTGTCAGCTGTAAAATAATTCACAGTCGGCTGTTTTTTTCGATTGTTTTACGAATTTTTTTTTATTAATTTCTGTTTTGACAATTGTTTTATAATTTTAATTACAAGTTGATTAAAAATATTTGAAATTTTGTTGTTGTAATTGATTTAAAAATTCTATATCGTCATGCAGATATAATAATCCGATCTGTTATTTCGGTGATTTCGAACTGAATGAAAATAATCGATGGGAATGGAGATGAACGAGTGATGTATGTAGTTGTATTGCAATTTTCGAGTACATCATATGCGGAAGTGTATCAGAATTTGCAAAATAAGCTGAATGTTGATTCTTCTTAGTACGATATGCAACTGAGATATTTATTCAATGGTTATGAGGATTCGTTTATTCTGATACCACCTATATTTGTTACTAATGATGCTGAATTGAATTAACTATTAGAATTAAATAAAATGCATAGGACTCCGACTGTTCTTGGTGTGACTTTAGTTAAGAAGGATGTTGTCGAAGGTGAACGCGAAGATTCAGATGGAGCGGATAATAATGATCGAGATTTTTGGGAGATAGTGGAGATAGTTTCTGCAGATGGTGTGGTTATTCCCGAGACAGTTGCAACTGATCGTGAAGTCACTGTTACGTACAGAATTCTGTCGACAGTTGAGGACAACGAAAATATAAATGATTTTACAAATGAAAATTTAATTGCTTTATCTTTATCGAGCCTGAGCGGGATGGGAGCTCAAGGGGTGGAATAAGTGGGCCGTCCTCCAATTGTTCACGTGTGGCTCCCGATGATGACGTTTTGAATGTTGAGCAACTATTTGAAATCAAGAAAGATTTGCAGGAAGTTGTGCATCGGATGACATTAAAATATAACTTTGAGTTCAAGGTAAAGAAATCAACCAAATTATTGTTGACAGTTGCCTGCGTTGACGACAATTGCAATTGACGCTTGAGAGCGACTAAGATGGACACGAATGAGTGTTTTGTAATTCGCAAATATGCACGGGAACATACTTGCGAAGTGATAATTTGTTGAAATGATCATAGGCAAGCTCGATCATAGTTTATTGGTCGACAGATAATGCATAAGTATCAGGATCCACAGACGATCTACAAACTTTCGGACATCATTAACGATGTTCGTCAAGAGTATGGAGTGGTCATGAGTTACTAAAAAGCCTGGAAGGCCAAAAATGTGCGTTGGAGGATTTAATGTGATCGGCTGAGGAGAGTTATGCTAAATTGGCCAGGTATTACCATAACATGTGGACAACTAATCCTGGCACGACATTTTTTATTGAGACGGGGAGCGATAATTGTTTTAAGTATTTGTTCATGACTCTCGGACAATGTATTCGGGGTTTTCGAAATGCAATGTGACCCGTAATTCTAGTTGATGGTACAACTCTGAAAACTAAATATCAAGGCAAATTAATTATTGCTACATGTCAAAACGCTAACATCCAAATTTACCCTATTGCATTCGGCATAGTCGACAGCGAGAATGATCTGTTCATGCGTTGGTTCTTTTCTAAATTGAGGAAAGTGATCGGGGAAGTCAAAGACCTTGCCTTTGTAATCGATCGGGAACAGTCTATAATAAACGGTATCGTTAAAGTTTTTCCCGAGGTACATCATGGGTATTGCATGTACCATATACAAGGTAATTTGAAAACTAGGTATCGGGCAAAGACATCGTTTCATTATTCAGGAGAGTCGCCGAAGCTTACAGTGCTGAAGAGTGTAATAAGTTCATGTTCGAGATAGGAAGTAAATCATTACTGGCGTTGGAGTATCTGACGAACATGGGGATCGAACATTGGGCGTGGTCATACTTTTCAGGACGTCGGTACAACATGATGGCATCGAATAACGCGGAGTTTCTCAATGCATTGTTTAAGAAGGATTGAGAGTTACCAATTCTCGCAATGATTGAGAACATTCGTAATAAGTTACAACAGTAGTTTCATGACCGATGTGTAGCATCACAGAGTTGCACTAGCGTGTTGATCCCAACTCAAAAGGAGAAACTTTTTAAGGCAGTAGAGGTTGCGATGAAGTTGAATGTGGAAGCACTAGATAAGTTCCGCTTTTCCGTGCAATGTGTATGTAATACGACATATATGGTGGACTTCACTGACAACACATGCACTTGTACGATATTTCAATTGAAGAGTTTTCCATGTGAGCATGCAGTTGCGGTGGCCATGTATTGAGGCTTTGCTGCCAGAACGTTATGTTCTTTGTATTATACGACTGAGTCTTAGAGAACAGCATATGATGAGACTATATTTCTTCTGTCGAATGAAATCGAGTGTGAAGTTTCCGAGCACATTCTCTCGTGTCATAATTTGTTGCCACCAGCAATTGAATTGCGTGGTCATGGACGTCCAAGTACATCTAAAATACCATCTATCGGAGAGTTTCCTTGACCGCGTAGGTGTGGCAAGTGCAGAGCTATAGGCCATACTCGACAATTTTGTACCAGTCAAATTCTCCTAAATGACAATTAGACAGGTACGTTAAATGAATAATATTTTCGTTTACTTTACACTGTTCAATATTTGTTTTTTATAAATATTCGATATTCAATATTTATTCTTGATAAATAGTGTTTATAATAATTATGAAAAAAATAATTTCATACTTGGCATATGTGTTAAATAACAAAAAAATCAACTTATAGAAAATTAATTAAATTTTCAATGTGAATGTTATATATATTGAACACAAATTTACAATTATTTTATAATCACAAAAAATAATTAAATTTACAATTCGAATGTTACATATAGTTTGTAACGCCCCGACCCCTAGTGGATCGGTACGCTACTTACTTTGCTTAGCTTAACCGGTGGTTTAGTAACAAGTATATACGTTTTAGCGGAAGCTTACATTTTCGAATGATAATTTAAATAACAATACTTCAAATATTTTAAATAAAAACACTGAATCATTTTTCAAAATAACAAAATGTAATTTATTTGAAGAAAACATAATTTGTTTTCGGATTCTGCGCTATTCAAAACTTTAAAGAAATAACATTGGAAAATATTTCATAAAAATAAATCAAAATCACTTATTCACCGGATTTCCATGGGCTTTTTGCATCACTCTTCATCTTCTCCTCCATCCATGCTCGAGGTAAAATTCCTTCAATTTGTAGAGATGAGATTAAACCCGTGAGTTGAAAAACTCAATAGGTGTCATAGGTGCATTCGTGATCAAACTATACATTTCAAAACATTAACTTTATAACTTTTCATATATGTCGTACTCGGAGGCACCATTTGACATGAAGGGATATGCCGTACCCGGGGCACCATTTGACATACAAGCATTTCTTCAACATAGAGGAGTATGCCGTACTGGAGTACCATTTGACATACAACCATTAACATAGAGGGATATGCCGTACCGGAGTACCATTTGACATACAAATATTAACATGAATCGAAACTTATAACTTAACACGATTAAACACATTGTACCTCTACCTATATTGATTGATGCTTTTGAAACTTTGAAAACTTGAATTGAAAATTTCGATGAAACTTGGACGTTGAAAGAAATACACTCCTTGGATGTTTGAAAACCGTTGAGAATTGATGCTTGAAGACACTCCTTGATAGCACCCAAAATTTCTATGAAAAATGCTAGAAAACACTTCTTAAACTTTTAGGAAAAATAGTTTTCCTCCCTCTCTTTTTCTCTCTTGGAAACTCTTTTTTTAGTATGTAAAAGCTCTTACTTTTGATGTGAGAAAAAAAGAGTGAAATGAGGTCTCTATTTATAGGTAAATATCCTATAACTTAAAGCAAATGAATGATCAAATTTCATTTAAGAGAGAAAACATAGGTGCCATTTAAGTTTGAGGTTAAATGCTTCAGTGGTTTTTATTGCCAAAAACGTGGGTGACCCTTTGAGAAAATAATTGATGAAAATAAATATTTAAATTTTAGAGAAAAACGAGAATTTTTCATTTTAGGCAGTTTCGGTCAACCGGTTGTAGTCCGGTTGACACTGCACAGCTTTCAGTGTTTCTATCATAACGTCTTCTTCCGATATCTGATTGAGGTAATTCAAAGTGCGTTGGAAAGTTAACTCAAAGAGCTATAACTTTTATTTAGATATCATTTTCCAAATCGAATGTTTCCTATGTCGAAAATGAGTCTCAAATGAGACTAAAAATTTGAAGTATATTTTAGTCATCCAATATTCATGTCTTAGTGCCACTAAGGTATGTAGAATTATTTGGGGTTCTACATATTTAATACAAATTTACGGGTTACCATTAAATTCGA